TGTGTTTTTTTTAAATAACAACAGGAAGGATCATTATAGATGGCATAGACATTGCCAAGCTTCCTTTACAAACTCTGAGATCCAGATTGTCAATTATTCTTCAAGACCCCGTTTTGTTCAGTGGCACAATCAGGTAACTGTTCCAATGATCAAATTTGTCTCAGTTAGGATAAAGAATCATATGCAAAAACATAATTAATTGCTGATGGAAGTTGCTCTTCCATTAATATCAATAGGTAAAGAAGAACATGAAGGAAATGGGAGAAAATTTTAATGCTTTGATGCATTTTTGGTTGAGACTGTGATCTACCAACCCTTAGTTCCATAGTTCACAAGTTGCTCAAAAAGTGTTTTAACTTTTCTATATGTGCCTCTTCTTGAAATTTATTTTAAATGATGTTCTGCTAAATTTTACTATAAGAATATGAGTCTTAATTTTTCTTTTGCTTACCTGAATGCGTATTTATAATTTTTAGTACAAATGAATATTCATTTTGCTTAATTCCTATCCAAAGAAGCAGTTTTTATAGCCCATAAAATAAACATAGTGGTATGTGCTTATTTTTGTGCATTTTTATAAATGTATTTCTTCATTTGATGATGTTGTTCTTAGGCTTTTGTTAATCCTATCCCACTACAACCTCTGAAGAAATGAAGAATGTATCTAGGTATATGGTGGTTATATGGCTACATTTTAAAAATGTTCAATTTGCTAGACCATACGTTGCATTAAAATAAGACACATAACTAGTAATAATATATTGTGTTCTCTACAGTTTAACAAAAATGCAGAAAAGTGTGAATCTCTTTAGTCATTTTTATTTTTGCAGATTTAACTTGGATCCAGAAAAGAAATGCACTGACAGCACCTTATGGGAAGCATTGGAAATAGCACAACTGAAACATGTGGTGAAAGCTTTACCTGGGGGACTAGGTAATAATTCCTTTAACTGTGGAGAAACCAGCACTTAAAACATTTCTACTTGAATTTTAGCTGTTTTAGATAGAGACTACAAATGCTAACTGTATTTGTAATTTGCTCATTTTCTTTAAAAATGTCTTTCTCCAGAAAATGGTTGTATTTATGGTTGTAATTATGTATAAACATAATTTCAAAGTAATACAGTCATGTGATCAAGCTATATTTTCAAAGTCTGGCCATGTTACCATTGTTCGGTTTTATCTGAAGATTTACTTTTGGGGGAGGCACTATGTTTCCTAAAGGAAGAAGCTTCATAGTG